TATTTTTTTTTAATTTTTTTTTCAACATTTATTTATTTTTGGGACAGAGAGAGACAGAGCATGAACGGGGGAGGGGCAGAGAGAGAGGGAGACACAGAATCGGAAACAGGCTCCAGGCTCTGAGCCATCAGCCCAGAGCCTGACACGGGGCTCGAACTCACGGACCGCGAGATCGTGACCTGGCTGAAGTCGGACGCTTAACCGACTGCGCCACCCAGGCGCCCCTAGGTGAAATTTTTCAAACAGCATGGAACAACTAAAAGTCTGAATATCCCTTCCTTCCCTCCAAAGGTAATCACTGTTAAGTTTGTTGTCTAATACTTCAGAATATAAATAAGCACATATACATATAAAATTCACCAATCTCTAAGTATAGAAACATACACAGTCTGTGTAGAGAGATACTCAATGTGATTATAACATACAAACTAGTATGCCTGATCCCCTCATTTTTTTCACTTAACAATACAACCTGGAAACCTTTCCAGATCTTTCCGACCTTATCACCTGCCTCTCTCTCCCCTAGTTCATCGTGCTCTCGCTGCACTGACCTCCTCGCAGTTCCTGGAACACACTGGGCACACTCACACCTTAAGGCTCCTGCACTTGCTGTTGCCTCTGCCTGGAATGTTCTTCCCCCAGATATCCTCTTGGCTCCCTCTCTCATTTCCTTCAGGTCGCTACTCAGTGTCACCTCCTCAGAGAGGCAACTCCCTATCACTTGTGGAACCTTACCCGACTTCATTTTTCTTCCCAGCACTTCTTGTCTATTACGCGTCTGTTGCCCTGTTCCGTGTCCTTGTCCCGCACAAGGATATGAGCTCTGTGAAGAGAGGGACCTTGTCTACCTCACTACTCTATGTCCAGGGCCTAGAATTCCTGGCCCTTAGCAGGTACTCAGTAAAATAGGGGGAAAAAAAGTACAGACGTAGCGTAGCATAGTAGTATGGATAACAGCACAGCGGTTAAGAGGGCTAGTTCAAATTGCCTGGGTTCTGATCTCTCTCCGGAGGCGTGTGCACTTGGGTGAGTGAATCGGCGTCCTCTGCAAGATAGGGACATACCAGTGCCTAACTCCCCGGGTTGGTGTGAGGCTTAACGTGCGAACATAGGAAACGTGCTTCGAACGGTAGCTGACACGGAGTGAATCGGAAGGCATGATCCCTGCTTGATTATCCGGAGCGTCCTGCGAAGGCTCTAGCAGCTCTGAGGTCAGCGGCTCCTTCTTCCAGCTCTTTTTCACTTCCTTGATTATTATTATCCCTTCTTGGCCTCCTTTCTCTGACCTTCACCCCTTAAACATCGGTGTCTCCCGAGTGCTTTTCATTTCTTACATTCTCTTAGGGTGAACTCATGATTTTAACTACTGGCAGAGTGGCCCAAACCGCACTGTTCCCCGGGGCCTCAGACTCTCGAATCCAACTGCTTTGAGCGTTTCCATCCTAATTACTCGTTAGGTTCTATGACTCACGGACGTGTGGGTTCCTCAAGGGCAGGGATAGTTTCTCAGTTATCTTTACCTCCGCTTCTCTGGAGGAGGTGCTCTTGGTAGCTGTACTTGGTAGGTGTTCACAGTCTAGTGAAGGGAAAGAGACAATAAATACATGACTGTGATGGGCCGGCTGGGGACAAGTGCTATTAAGCCGGACAAAGAGAAGAGAAGGCTGCGAGGGAGGCGGCGGTGCGATGGTTTTGTGAAGGTTGGCCGGGGAAGACCTTTGGATATTTGAACAGAGCGCTGAGGGAGACGATGATGTCTGAGGAGAGAGTGTCCCGAGCATGAACCAGCAAATGCAGAAGGCCTGAGGTGGAGTGTGTTGAGGGAACAAGAAGGGGGCCAGTGAGGCTGGTGTGGAGTGGCTGAGGGGACTAGAGGTAGGAGATGAGGTGAACAAAGTAAT